GGAAGTTCTGCCCCATCTGGCTCTTGCAGGAACACATCTCCGCTCGTCCGTGGAGCCCAGGATGCGGTTGGGGCCACGTCCACCCTTGGGCGACTAGGCTGTGTCTTCTCAACTGAAGGTCAGCCCAGTCTTAGGTCAGGTTCTCTGGAGCTGAGCCTGAGCCAGGCGCCGTGTGTACGAGGCTTAGTGAGGAAAGTCTCGTGGGAGAGACCCTAAGGGACGAGGGAGCTGGACAGAGCTGGGAAGAGGAGGGCCGAGACGGTAGTTTCCCGTGGCTGCTGTAACACACTGCCACAAGCTTGGTGTCTAAACCACAAAAATGCCTTCTCTCTCCGTTCTGGAGGCCAGAGGTCAAAATCCGGCTCCGTGGGGAACTCTGGGGAGAGTCTGTTCCTTGGTTCTTCCAGGAGCTCGTGGCAGCTGGCACGTGTTGACTTGTGGCCACATCACTCCAGTGTCTGCCTCATCGTCACAAGGCCTTCTCCTCTTCTGTCGGAATCAAATCTCCCTCTGCCCCCCTCTTATAAGGACTCTGTGACAGTTGGGATAATCCAGGATAATCTCATCCCAAATCCTTAATTCCATCTACAAAGACCCTTTTTCCATAGAAGGTGCATTTCCAGGTTCCAGGGATTGGGACCCGATTTCTTTGGGAGTCATTATTCATCTGACTACAGATGGGGATCAGGAGACTCTGCTCCCCTATGGGCCCTCTGGAGTTTGCAGTGTGCCACATGCCACAGAGGTTGTCCTCATATGCTCTTGTGCAGCCTGTGTTTGGCTGCCGGCTGCCCCAGCGGGGAGCAGGGCTGGGAAGACGTCTGAGCATCTCCAGGTGAGGCAGCTCCCATCTGCCGAGGGAAGTCCTCCAAGTTCTCTCTCTCTCCCCTCCGCCCTTCCCTTCTCCTCCTCCTATCTTCTTCTCCCCTCTTCCTCTTCTTGTTTCTCTCTTTCCCCCTCTCCCTCCCTTCCTTCCTCCTGTTCTGCTTCCCCTAAACAGGCTTGAACATATTTGGAAGCCATAAGGAACAGGCAGAGCTCACAAGGCCACAGCAACCGTATCTTGCAGCCTCTGAGCTGAGTCACAAGTGCCACCAAAAAGAAAGATCTGTCGCACCTACCTGCCGGGTCCCCTCCATGCGAAAATGACAACGAGCAGAGCCCAGTGGTACCGTAGACCCCAAACCGTGTGACTCACGAGCATTGGTACCCCGGGAAGGCCTCATTCCCCAAAACTCCCAAGCACGTAGGCTCAGTAAGACCCTTTGACTTACCGCTGAAGTCTCTGCCCCAGGCGACTCAGTCTTTATATTCTGCTCAAATCCTTCTGCAGCGTCCCCCAAACCCTCCTCCAAGGTGAAGGCTGCAAGGCCGCATGTGAGGCCTCCCTGGTTTGTGTTCACTTGGTCTGCATGCCATGTCAGTCACGACAAAATCATTAGTATCAGGAGGGGGTCCCATAAGTGAGCGCTGGGGAGTGACGCGTGTGCAGCCTGTTTGTAACACAGACCTCTGCCTCCGGGGCAGACCCCAGTTGGCTCGTTTTGAGTTTGCAAGAATTAGGATCCTTCGAGCCACCTCCTCATTATCTTATCTGTCTTCCTATGTCTCATTCACCCAGCCCAGCCTGGTAAATGCGCTAATTTGGTGCATCGTGTCTTTATTGATACAGTAGTCAGAATATGTCTGTGCACGATGCAGCAGTGGGAATAAACTTGGTTACAGTGAAGGAACAAATAACAGAAATACCAGTGACTTAAAACAACAAAGTTGTACTTGTCACCCATGCCACCTGTCCCTTGCAGCTTTGTGGGTGTCACTGCTTGTCACAGGCCCCCAGGAGCCAGGCTGACCAGGCAGCACCCACCAGCACTGCCAGACACCACGCGAGAGGGGCAGGCAGCTGTGGAAGGTCCCTTATCTGAAATTAGGTGTTCCCACAAGGAGGTGACACCTGTCACTCCTGCTCACAACTCATTGTCAAGATGGTCACAGCCCCGCCCAACAACAAGTGAGCTAGAAGGCCAGTCCTGCCATGTGCCTGGAGAAGAACCGCACGTTGTTGGCAAACACCTCTACTGATGGCCTCCATATACAGAGCGCAGACCGCAGCCGTGCACGGAGCCCAGAGCATCGTAGGGGAGAGGCTGACAACCCCTCCAACCAAACGTATTTGTTGTGTTTATTGCTGGACGTCAACCTCCACACACACATACACCTATCCTGCCTCCGCACCTGGCCCGTGTGGACCTGGGGCTGCAGGTCCCCGTCCTGGGTGTGGAGTGCCTCCCCCGCCTCCACTGAGGGGGCTGCTCAACTTTTCCCTCACCTCCTCACCCTGCCACCAGCATCCAGCTCCCGCTTTCCTGTTACCCTGAGGAATAAACACTGAGTTTTAGATAAAACAAAAACAAAACATGAAGACTTAGGGTTACATCCACAACGACACCTAGCACCCCCAGGCATCGCTTCTCTGGTCCACAGGAGGACTTCAGGGATGTGCTCGATGCCAAGAAGGAGCCGAGATGACCCCCAGACTCATTTTCTTAGAACACGTGGTTTGGCAAAAGGGCCCAGAAAGTGAAAATCATGAAGCAGCCTGTTTCCCTGAAAATGTCTCAGTATTTCCCCCCTTCCTTCCTTCCTTGCTTCGCCTCTCTCTTTCTTTCTTTCATTCACTCTATCTCTCTAGCTCTCTCTGTCTCTGTCTCTCTGTGTCTATCTCTCGCTCTCTTTCTCTCTCTCTTTCTTTCTCCCTTTTCTTTCTTTCATTCTCTCTCTAGAAGTCAGCTCATCTGTGACGATTCAGCCTGACTTAGAATTGGAAGACCTGAAAGAGAAAAAGCCTAGGATTAAAGACTCACTGGTCCTGAAGCGAGGAGAGCCGTGGACAGGCCACGAGTCCAGTGAAGTCCCCTGAGCTTGTTCCATTCAGCTTCTCTAGCCAACTTCAGTGCCTTTGCTGTTGGCAGAGGTCTAGGATGACAGCACCTCCAACTCACAAATGGACCTGCGTCCGCGTTTCCCTCCAGAGTTATTGACCATCCCCTGGACAGTACAGCTTCTAGTGTCCCACTGTGCGTGTCACATCCCCGCTGCCTCGCCGTGAAGATAAAGGGGCTGACACCGGTCATGCTTTTCATGATGTCTGAACAACCTAGTCGTTCCTGCTTTGTTTTTCTCACGCCCTCCAAGTGCCAGAGGGAGGTGTGCCTCCTGCAAAAAGAGACTGGGAGGAGCATTCGGGCAGGAATGTCGCACCTGCCAGAGAGGGGACAGCCGGGTGCCAGCTGGGGCTGAGGGTGTCTTTCCCACTTTCCAGCTGTGCATCCTGGGGAAGCGTGACTTCCTGTCTCAGGCCCCAGGGTGATCATGGGGCCGTGAGGACAGCAGCCTGCCCCTGAGTGGCTGTGAGTCATGACTGAGACCGTAGCTGTGGCGAGCCCAGCGCTGGTCCTGGCGTAGGAAGTGCTCAGTGAATGGGAGGGCTCCTTCCACTCGCCCGAGGGATCACCAGCCAGCCCCACCCTCACGGCCTCTGCTTCCACCCACCTCACCCCCTCTGCGTTCATCCCCTAGGGCTGCCGACACGAGTTACCGCACACCTGGCAGCTTCAAACACCACACACTTATTCTCTCCCAGTTCTGCAGGACAAAATCCCAAATCGGCTTCACTGGCCCAAAATCAAGGTGTGAGCAGGGCCGCACTCCCTCCAGAGCTCCAGGAGAGGGTCCGTTGCTGTCCCGTCCAGCTTCTAGAGGTTAGTCCTGGGCCCCTCCTCCATCATCAAAGCCCAGAACAGCATCTCGCTTCAGGGGCACGTGGCCTTCCTTGGCTTCAGTTGTCAAATATCCTCACCTCACTCTTATAAGGACGCTGGGATTACATTTAGGACTCACCGGGATAATCTAGGATAATCTGCCCATCTCAAGATCCCTCACTTAATCACGTCTGCAATGTCCTTTTTGCCACATAAGGGCAAACCCATGGGTTCCAGGAGTTAGGGCTTGATAGCTCTGGAGGCCGTTGTTCAGCCCACCACACCACCCCCAAGACTTGCCCCGACGCTCACTGAGGATGAGGTAAACTCCTTGAAGAGCTGGGAGACAGAGACACGAGGACAAAATCCTTTCATTGTACTTGGTTCTCCCCTCGGACGTCGGCAGAGAGGAGCCGGCTTGTGTGGGGGGCGGCAGTTGAGTACGTGGACCCCCCAGGACCGAGTCGTGGTGGCTCTCCTCCTTCCTGGGGGGGCTGACCGTGGTCAAGCTCCTTTATGCTCAGTTTCCCCGTCTGGAATATGGGACCCACAGGAGTGCCCATCTTGTGGTGGCCCTGAGGATGACGTCGGCTGGCGTGCCTGGATTAACGTGTGCACGTCCTCTGGAAAGCAGGGCCTGTGGCACGGAGTTGAGTGCAGGTGGGCATTTGGGGAGTGACTCCAGGAAGCAGAGTGGGGGCGGGGACAGGACAGGACATGCGGAAGGAAGAGAAGCCAAAGGAGGGCAATTACCTCTGTGGGCAAGTGGCGGGCATGCCATTGAGACTCTCTAGGGAACCATGAGGAATATCTCAGAATCCGCCCCGCAGCTGAGATGGGAGGCTGTATGCACTTGATTTATTGCAGAAGTTCTCAGGAGAAATTCACATGGGAGCGAAGGAAGCAGGATGCAGAAAGGAGAGAAGCTGAGCAAGGACAGTTTCCAAGGAAATCCACGTCGGCCAGATGCCAGGAGGAGCTCTGGCGAGTGAACTGTGCACGCAGTTTGTTCCTCCTTGAGCATACCAGGAAGTCACCAGGCAAAGAAGTGGGGTGGGTGGTACACAGCACCCAGGTCACTCTGAGGGACAGCTCCAGCCACCTAAGGGCATAACTTCTCTGTGATGCACCTGCAGTGCCTGAGGGGTGAGTGTACCGACCCATAAGCGATCCCAGGAGAGGTGGTGGCCCCACAGCATCTGTTATCACACCCGCCATTTCTGCCATATCAGAAAGCAAGAACCAATGTCCACACTAGGACATACTCCTCACAATGGTGCCCCCAAAACAGCTGTGGCACGTCCCTTTCCTCCTCCGCTGTCTCCTGCTGTTCCTTTGGCTATGGGATATGATAAAACTCATGCGTCCCCTCTCTGACCTCCTTACAGGTTTCTGACAGGTGTGACTACGTCTTCGTCAACGGGAAAGAAATGAAGGGCAAGGTGAACGTGGTGGTGAACTTCACCTACCAGCACCTGCACAGTCCTCTGGAGATGACGGTGTGGGTCCCCCGGCTCCCGCTGCAGATAGAGGTCTCCGACACCGAGCTCAATCAGATCAAGGGCTGGAGAGTGCCCATCGTCTCCAACAAAAGGTGGGTGAGCGAGTCCAGTCTCCATAAGAGAGGCCCAACTCAAATGTGCTCCAGCTAAAATGGAAATTTAGAGGGTGCCTCATTTCAGCCACGACTGGATCTGGGGATTCAAATAAACTCCTAAGGACTGGGTGTCTCTCTGCCTCTCGGCTCTGGTTTGCTTTGTGTTGGCTTCATCCTCTATCAGGCTTTTCTCAGGAGGTTCCAGACTTCCATTCCATGTTCTCTGCAGTTCCACAGAAAGTGCATCCTCTCTTTCCCAGTAATTCCAGCAAAAGTCATGGAGTTGAGTCTTATCTTCACTTGGGTTGTGTGCCCATCCCTAATCTAATCACCGCAGCCAAGGGGATAGCAAGCACTGACTGGCTGGCTAGACTTCAGCCACAACCCCTTGGCTGGAACCTGGGGAGCTAGAGGAAGAGGTAACCTCTGCCTGAACTAACACATCAGTTCCAGAAGAACGGGAGAAGTGATTCTGGGGGACACAAACAACAGATGTCCACTGGAGAGACATCTGAACAGATTCTCCCTGACTTGGGCAGCCTCTCCAGGCCCCAGGTTCAGAAGCTCTGAGATCGCTTTGCCATGGGAAGATGAAGAACGAAGCTGGTCACCTGTGTGCCTGGTCTATCATTCTGATGGTGCGTGATAGAGTGAGAAGTCCCCATCATCTACGTCAGGCAACAGGCCTCACATACAAAGAGAGTTGTAGAAGCTCAGGTTCTGTGTTCAGAGACTTTGTCATCTCAGAGAAAACCATGCTTAAGGATCCATATATAAGTGATCTGTAGAAAGCCAAAAGTGAGCCTGTGCAGAGTTAGAGAAGGAGATATTCCTGGAGGCTGTGTACTCAGCGGGGGGTAGGGAATTGGTACTTACCTGAGGGATGACGTTTATATTCCTTCCCTTGGAAGTCCACCACTTTCAGTCCTTGCGGCCCCTGGGAGAGGGGATGGCTTTAAAGATGAAGGCAGTGGGTCCCATGTGCAGCTGGAAGATGGTTTCAACAATGATCCCTTTCTTACCTGCTGGGGTTTCTGGTGTTGAGTTGGAGGGTGAAGTTAGGAGAGATAATGGATGCTACTGAGGGCACACAACTGCAGGGAAAAACTCACTAAAGAACTGGCCGAATCTGATGGTGGCACATCCAGATGCCTTCACAGCTGTCCAGCTCAAATGCGGCAACAGAACTAGTTTGAGAGGTGAGCAGCTGTTGTTCTGATGAAGACTGCAGTGATGCTGGAAAGGGCTGCTGCCCATAAGGCATCAGGCATTGAGGGAGCAGCTAACACCTGTCTCCTGGCCAAACCATCCTGGCCATTTCTACATTCGTTATCACGAATTCATCTTCCCCTGAGTTCAATACCTCCTTTGTATACTGGTTTATAGGGCTCTACCAGTCACCCATAGCCCTATTATATTAGTTATCTATTGCTACAAAATTTGATGACCTTTCTCAAAACTTAGTGGCTTAGAAGAGAAACATGTACTGACTCACAGTTTCTCTGGATTGGGAATCCAGGTACGGCTTAGCTGGGTCTCTTACAGGCTGCAGTCCGGTTGTCAGCCGGGGCTGCAGTCTCATCTCAGGGCTCATGTGGGGAAGGGTCTGCATCCGAGTTCATGCAGTTGTTGGCAGGTCTCAGCTCCTCACAGGATGTTGAACTGAGGGTCCCTGTTCCCCATTGGCCCCCTCTTGTTTCTAGCCATGTGGAGATCTCCAAAGGGCCACTCACAACATGGCGGCCTGCTTAGTCAGAGCAAGCAAGAGAGAACGAAGGAAACAGTGCCGAGCAAGACAGAAGTCATAGTCTTTTCAAACCTAATCTTGGAAGTGACATCCTATAACTTTTGCTATAATTTTTCACTGGAAGCAGATTACTAGGTCCAGCCCACATTCAAATGGAGGGGAGTCCACAAAGTGGATACCAGGAGGTGGGGATTTAGGGAGACACCTTAGAACCCTGCTTACCACACCAATCCATTCCAACTGGTCAGTACTCGTGCCATACCAGTGGTCAAATATCCTGAGAATTACTCTGGGTGTCTGTCACACCAGCCTGTGAACTCCCTCAATGGGAGGGCTCATGGCCCACCCACCTTCACACACAGCCCCTGACTGTTGTCCCAGCAAGTCGGTGTCTGTTAAACTGAACTGACCCTTTGACAGGCCAGCTCGGGACAGCGAGGAAGAGGATGAAGACGAGAGGAGGGGCCGAGGCTGCACGCTCCAATACCAGCACGCCATGGTGCGGGTCTTAACACAGTTTGTGGCCGAGGCAGCTGGCCCTGGGGGGCACCTGGCCCACCTGTTGGGCTCAGACTGGCAGGTGGACATCACAGAGCTGGTGAATGACTTCATGCAGGTGGAGGAGCCCCGGATCGCCAAGCTGCAAGGGGGACAAGTCCTGATTGGCCAAGAGCTTGGAATGACCACCATTCAGGTAAGAAATCCCCACAGGCGCGGGCTCTGTGTCTCTGCCTCATCCCTGCCCAGGTCAGAATTCGGCTGTTTGTCATTGCTCTGAACAATGTCTGTTTCTAGGTGAGCAGACTGAAAGAAACTGTCAAGGAAATAATGTAAGTGGTGTAACGAGGCAACAAGAGTCTTGAAATTCCTCACAAATTGCTTGCGTTTGAGAAACGCTGGTCTGGCTCCTCTGGTTGGGTCACGTCTGAAACTCCAATACACTGTTTGTCTCCAAGCCACGGTAGATGTTACCTTCTTGGGAACAGAGCCCTCGGGTGAGCTGACCTGATGGGAATCGTGGATGTGGCCAGCAGCTTCTTGCTTAGCCACTCCATCTCACTGACCATTGTCGAGTAAAAGCTTCCCGTCCCGCCGTGATGTCGTGCTCCCTCTACCAAATCCCGACCTCAGGGCTGATGAAAACTGGAGCATTTCAGAAATGTGCAGGAGACAGGAACAAGGTTATTGTGACACCGTTGGTCATGTGGGCACCTGCTCCTGGGAACGGGTGGGAGAGGACCAGTGTGCAGCATGGGAGTCGTGAAACAAGCACTTTCACAAAACACTGTCCTGGGAGGGGTGACGGGGGTTTAGTCATTGCCCTCCTGTCTGAGAACAAATTTTACTCCTCATATCTTCCCCATTTATAGGAGAGGCGATTATCCTGTTAGCCAATCAGTGAGGTTTCTAAAATAGTTGTGCATAAGGAAGCTTTATAAGTGAAACTATGTTGGATTGTGGAAGATTTAAAACATATCCATTCTGGGAAATTGGCTGGTATTGAAAAGAAAGCATTTTATTCAAGGAGGAAAATAAATTAGTTTGAATAGTCACCCGGGAGTCAGGGGCTCAGATGATCTCTAAAAGCTGAGAAGGTACAGTGTGGAAAGCAGGCTGGGCGTGAGCTGAAAGATGAAGACCATTTTGGGCCCTAAGTGTTAGGAAGTGGTGAGGAGTGTGGTGAAGAAGAGGCTGCTACTCATATCCAGAAGCAGCCAAGAGGAAATGCGAGAGCCCAATATGGCCAGGTGTTGCAACTTTTCCAGAGAAGCTAGAAATCTATCTTTTTTTTTTTTTTTTTTTTTTTTTGAGGAAGATTAGCCCTGAGCTAACATCTGCTGCCAATGCTGCTCTTTTTGCTGAGGAAGCCTGGCCCTGAGCTGACGTCCGTGCCCATCTTCCTCTACTTTATATGTGGAACGCCTACCACAGCATGGCTTGCCAAGTGGTGCATAGGTCCGTGCCTGGGATCTGAACCAGCGAATCCTGGGCCACCAAAGTGGAGTGTGTGAACTTAACCACTGCATTACTGGGTCAGCCCCTAGAAATTTATCTTTTTACATGAAATCTTCTGTTTTTTTAAGGATGGTCATTAATTCCATTTTAAAATATTATTTACGTTGAACAAAACATATTTCCCTCCTAAACAAGAGTGTGCAACCTCCACAACTGACTTTTAGTTGAAAAATCTAAATTAAAGATCTAATTCATGCAATCAATCCATCGGCTAAACTGACACTGATGCCTAGAAACTGAACCAAGACGAAAACTTGGTATTAAGCACTCACTGTAAATGATAATTTCAGTGCAAGCAGGGAGTAGCACCGTGTTCAGAAGTCAGGTAGTAGGAGGGAAATGGGCCAGCATCCCATGCGTTAAACGTGGAAATTCTCCTGGTGGGGCATCTCTTCCTGAGACCTACTTCCTCCCTTTTATTTATTCCCACTGAGTCCTCCTGAGTTATGAATTCGCTTATCCATTTTCTTCTGGGAACTCATATCTCATGCTCACTGCCATTCAAATTGTCATAGCCAGACTTAGAAACTGAAGACGGTGTTTGGATAGAAATATAGAGCTTTGATAAATGAATTTAAGGAGTCCTGGGAAAACTGCTATCTTGACGTACATCTTCATAAATATCCCCAAGAACCTGAAAAGAGAACTATGTCAAGAAAGCAGGTGAAAGAAGGATGCAACCCATTTCATCCAGAAGGTTAAGGATTCATGGGGAGCTGTCTAAATCAGCCCTTCATAACGTGGGGGAGGGGCGAGGAGACGGAGCTGTGACTCCACAGATGCTCTTCCAAAGCAGGATTTCCTCCTCAGGGTCTAAACTGAATGTAAGCTTCATTTCCCAGGTCATCACGGGGGTCCAGAGGAGAAGTGAGACTGTAGGGTGTGGGCAGCAGGCGGAGAATTGCAGCTATGTTTATCAGAGGATGCAGGCTGGTATTCCAACAGGCAGCTGAGCACCACTGCTCCATGTTTCCCCAGGCATGGAGTGTGACCTCCCAGGGACACACAGGAGGATCTAGGTAGCACCTGGACCAACAGTCTGTCCTTCTCATCACACATGGGTCATCACGTGTGTGAGAGAGAAATATGTAAATATATAACTAGCATATCGAAACATCGTTGTTTGATGCTATGAAGCTTTTTAACAAATTATTTAAGTCATGTAAATAATTTTAAACAAATATGCACTAAATATGGTAGAGATGGTCCGCGATGTAGAAGAATCATAAAGTTAGTACTCAAATGAATGAAAATGTTAATTTCTCCTTTCAAGGATCCAGGTGGTGCATGATGGGTAATGGAGTTTGTATTTGTGTGGTGGGGGTGGGGTGTCAAGTCCTGCCCCATCCACTCCCTGACAGCATCTTGCTGTTACTTAAAAAGTAACTTTCAGGGGCTGGCCTGGTGGCGCAGCAGTTAAGTGCACACATTCCCCTCTGGCGGCCTGGGGTTTGTCGGTTCGGATCCCGGGTGCAGACATGGCACTGCTTGTCAAGCCATGCTGTGGCAGGTGTCCCACATAGAAAGGAGAGGAAGATGGACACGGATGTTAGCTCAGGGCCAGTCTTCCTCAGCAAAAAGAGGAGGATTGGCAGCAGATGTTAGCTCAGGGCTAATCTTTCTCCAAAATATATATATATATATATATATATATATATATATATATATATACTTTCATAAGCAAGATGTATCTTTTAGAAGAAAGCTTCAGCGGGAAAGGCCCGCTTTTGTTCCATCTGGCTCATTTGTCGTCTCAGTCCCTTCCCTGTGTGGAGCGTCGTTCATGCTCCTGGAGAAATCTCTGGGACCACAGAAAGCTTTTCCTTGCCATGTTGGCTCTGCCTTTCAGATCCTGTCGCCTCTGTCGGACGCCATCTTGGCTGAAAAGACCATCACCGTGCTAGATGAGAAGGTAACAATCACAGACCTCGGGGTCCAGTTGGTGACAGGGCTGTCACTCTCCTTGCAGCTCAGCCCAGGGAGCAACAGAGCCATCTTCGCCACAGCGGTGGCTCAGGAACTTCTGCAAAGGCCCAAACAGGTATGGAGGGAGGGCTTGGGACAGATGGGGTGGGGTCCCACATCAGGAGGGTCCCACATCAGGAGGGTCACATATCAGGTGGGTCATATAGCAGGTAAAGTCACACATCAAGTGAGGTCACACACCAGGTGAGGTCACACATCAGGGGGGTCACACAGTGGGGTTGGGTCCCACGTCAGATGGGGTTGTTCATTGGGTAGAGTCCTGAATCGAGCAGGGTCACACATCAGGTGAGGTCGCATAGAGGGGTGAGGTCACACATTAGATTAGGCTACCCGTCAGGAGGAGTCATAAATCAGGGATCCCACAAAAGGATGGGATGGCACCTTGGTGTTTCTCAGTCTGGGAAGGGGCTTGTGAAACAATGGCTGATTTGCCTCATGGCCTAGCCCCCCGAAACAGAGATGCCCAAAAACAAAGGTTGCAGTGCATAACGGATGGTAGGCCACCAGGAGACAGACGGGCTGGCAGGAGGCTCCACTGCCCGTCCAGCGAATGCCTAGTGCACTCAGGAAGCCCCGTGCCGCTTCACGTTCCTCACCTACCCAAAGGCCCTGGCACAGCGGCCCCGACACTGCTGTCCCCCGAGGGGCAGGGGCTGGAGGTGAGGGCGGAGGCAGATTCCAGACGGGGTCCACAGCCTGCTGCGAGGTCCCTGCAAGAAGGACGGGCTAACAGGTCTGGGCGTCAGGAGGAGACAGGAGGAGAGAGAGCAACGTTCGTTGCTTAGTTCAGGGCAGAAATAAAGAGCCCATGGTGACGTCAATCGTGATCTTCTTTCTCTTTATTTAAAACCAGTGCGTGCTAACAGAGGACGTGTTGTGTGTGTGTATGCTACGTGTATGTGTGTGTTGTGTATGTGTATGCATGTGTGTGTGTTTATGCTGTGTGTGTACATGTGTGCATTGTGTGTATGTGTGTGTTTATGTGTTGACACAATGATTTCCAGACAAAGGGGACCATTCACGGGACATTTGCAAGTGTTCTATGGTCCCCTCCCTCATCAGAGGTGAGTAAACATTATTTCTTAGAAGGAGCATGGAGACTTTGATGAACCTGCTCAACAACCACAGACTGGTCTCCAGCGGTTGATTCTCTCTGTGCCCCGCGAGATGGGACCATCCTCCTGTGGGGTGTGGGAAGGGCTCCGACCCACGCAGGGAATTTTCCTGGCAGCTTCCCTTACAGGTCAGGGGCCCTTCCTGGAAGCTGTCCCCTGTTCAGGCAGTTCCCGCCTCGGCCCCTCTCACACCAGCCTTGTCCTGAGCGGGAAGCCTGCTGAGCCAACCGTGCCCCAGCCCACAGAGCCATCCCGTTTGCCCAGCCTGTCCCTATCACTTAACGCACCACCCCCCAGGTGTTAGCTGGTCCCTTGGCCTTTTCACTGTGGTCTTTGTGTGCAGGGTTTTGGATTAGAAAACACTTTAAAGTGGATGATCCCACTAACAGATATGCGTGCTTGCCAAAGGCAAACCTCCCTTTTCTCAGGCAGAATGCGAGTTCCAGATAGCAAAAGAGAAATAACCCGAGGCTTCTTTCTGTCTTCATGGGGTGATAAAACCAGGTTACCAGCACTTAGGAGTCAAGGGAGCAGCGACACAGTTAGAACAAGGCCAAAGAGCTAATCCCTTTCCGCCGTGCCCCCCTGAGGTTCGCCCCACCGTTTGCTTGGATGGCCCTTAGTCCCTGCGTGCAACTGGGCTCTGACATTTCAGTTGCAAGAAATCCAGCGTGCATTTGAATGTCCTGCTCCGATTTCAAGGCAGGGTGGAAGAACCTGGTAAATCAGGGTCACGGCTGGCAGCTGTTGCCCTGGGTCTTGGCAGCATCTTCCAAGCCCATGTCTAACAATAGAAGTATCTCCAGGCTGAGCTGAGGGAGGAGCAGAGGCCACCACTCACACTTGAGGAGCCTTTCTTCTCACTTCCAAAGACTGAGCACCACCAGGGTAAATTTGCTTCTGTCCTGGTCAGGGGCTCTTTGGTCTCGAGAAAGAGAAACCCACCGAAGCAAGCTTACATAGCACGGCATTTATTATGAGGATTAGGGGACCCTCATAGACTCCAGCCATGAGAACTTGGAGGAACTGGAGCGTCAATGGTCTCTCTCACGCCCACTTCCTCCTTCCCCTGTGACTTCCTTTTGGTCTGATCTCTTTTTCTCTCCCCACAGATAAATGCTGTGCCCAAACATTTGCTTACACGCTATCCATCGTGGTTGCTCCAGAATGGGGCTTCATTCCCCACTTTCTATGAGCTCCCACTCATCTTCCCAAGTTAAGTGCTTCCGTCCTGTCTTTCCTATTTCAAATTTGAGAGAGAGGGAGAGAAGGATGGGGAAGGAGAGAGATGCCGTGGGCTCAGAGCCACTGAGGTTAATGACCCCAACGGCAGCTGTCCCCCGTCCAATCAGCTGTAGCCGGGTGTGCAGGGCCAGGTGCCTCCTAGGGCAGGTCATCATTCTGGGCTTGGGGCCAGGCAGGTTCTCCAAGAGGCGGGAGGAGGGAGGAAGCAATGGGCCTGCCAGTTCCCTGTCAGCACGATGACATCTTCACTGACATTGAAGGCTTGCCTTAAACTGGAGGTCAGCTCCTCTTCCCTGATCTCCCTGGTCTAACTAGTCCCGAGGAAAGTTGTCTCAAACAAGAAAGTAAAAAGGCAAGAGATTGGGGCGTGCACAGACCTTGGCCCTGGCCACTCTTTGGTCTCCCAGTTTCCCCCACCTGGTTGGGGTGGAGTGTGGGAGGAAGACAAAGACTCTCAGACACAGTCCATCTTTCTGGCTGGTTTAAGTGCTCGCCTCCAAACCAGCTGTGTCCAAAGCTGGTACAAACTATTCCTGTGGACCAGAGAAGGCAGGGCAGTGCAACCAGAGACAGCAGCGTCTCCGGGGCGTCCTTGTCCAGATGAGGGCTTTATCTGTGCTGTGAGTAATGAACGGAGACTCGGGCTTAAAGCAACTTAAAAATAACGCAATAAATACTTTTCATTTAAACATGTAACACTTGTAAATGAGCCCGCTAACCGGCAATACCCTTTGACATGCAATTTATCATCCCGCAGAAGCAGATCTTGCCCTGCCTCAAGAACCCGTCTGTCCTTCAACACCTCGGGGGAAAAGCAAACCTTATTATGGAGTGTTTATAACTGGTCCTGTTTCATTGTCATTTTAATGTTGTTGTTGTCGTTTTCTTTTGGTTTTACATCTTTCTGAGAATTCATTTTCTTTCATACTCTTGGCACCTCTTAACTCTTTTTCTGTACTGCTTAAAACGTTTTTATTTGTTCTTGTCATACTATTTTTGCCACAGAGTGCCTATTTTGCTAAGACTTGGTGTTCCCTGAGCTTTGGGGCCCGTTTTGATTAACTGACTTACTTTATTCAACAGGAAGCGGCCATCAGTTGCTGGATCCAGTTCAGTGATGGCTCCGTCACTCCCTTGGATATTTACGATGGGAAAGACTTCTCCCTGATGGCCACATCCCTGGACGAGAAGGTGGTCTCCATCCACCATAATCCCAAATTCAAGTGGCCTATAATCGCTGCTGAAACCGAAGGACAGGGTGCTCTGGTAAGGATCGAAATGGTTATTAGTGAATCATGCCAGAAATCCAAGCGGAAGAGTGTGCTGGCTGTGGGAACAGCCAATATCAGAGTCAAATTTGGTCAAAATGATGCTAGCCCCAACACCAGCGACAGCAGACACATGGGAACAGGAGTTCACCTGGAAAATAACGTCAGTGACAGAAGACCCAAAAGACCCATGCGAGAATGGGGGAGTCAAGAGGGACAGCGCTACGGCAGTTCCTCTGTGGGCCTCACGGAAGGAAGAGGCTCCACCACGGAGAGGTCAACCTTCCAGAAGAACAAAGGCCAGGAAAGCCTTTTAGATGATGACAGTGGTTTTCAGACCATCCCCATTGACCTCACCAGCTTCCCTGCCCAGGTGGACCTCCCCAGAAGCAATGGGGACGTGGATGAGAATGACCTCACGCAGGCATCCAAAGGGCTGAGTGACTTGGAAATTGGGATGTACGCTCTGTTGGGTGTCTTCTGCCTGGCCATTTTGGTCTTCCTAATAAACTGTGTGACCTTTGCATTGAAGTACAGGCACAAACAGGTTCCCTTTGAAGAGCAGGAAGGGTTGAGTCACTCCCATGACTGGGTTGGGTTGAGCCACCGGACAGAACTGTTGGAAAATCACATTAACTTCGCATCCTCCCGAGATGAGCAGATCACTGCCATTGACAGGGGCATGGATTTCGAAGAGAGTAAGTATCTCCTCAGCACAAACTCCCAAAAGAGCATCAATGGGCCGCTGTTCAAATCTTCAGGACCCATAGTCTCTGATGAGAATGATCAGAAAAATGAGCCCCCATCGTCCCCCACCTCAAAAAGGAAAAGAGTGAAATTTACTACCTTTGCCACCATCTCCACAGATGATGAGTGCCCCACCGTGAACTCCACGGGGACAAGTGGGGAGGCTAACATGAGCTGGGTCTGCCAGGATCTGGACGCTGGAGAGTGCAAGGAGCTCCATGACTACATGGAAAGGTTACACGAAGACGTGTAAGCCGGACACTCGCCAATATTGGTCTCACTCACCTTTCAGCCTTTAATTTGAGGATGTGTGACAATGGTGCCCCTGGGGGAGACATGAAATGACAGGACAAGAAGAGGGTGACCCTGGCAACAGAGGCCTAGGAAACGATCCTGGTGCAGCTGAGGAGGCCCCGAGTCAGAAGCAATGCACACATTCCAGTGTACAATGTCCTGGTCCATATTAAGAGGTTTATCATGCATAGCAAGATTTTTAAAACTTGGAAGAAAAATGAGTTCTGAGTCACTGAGCTTCTGAGAGCTTCCAGGAAAGAAGGATCGTCAAAGCAATTTGGATGTTGTAAAATCCACGTGGCTCCCATAGTCAGCATCACAGAGGACGAAAGGAAGGCGAGACCTGGGGTGAGAGTAAGTGGATCAAGGAGAGGAAGCGTGTCATTTGAGTTGGAGCAGTGCATCTGCCTGTGCGCAGGATGACAGGCATGGTCCAGCGCCACAGTCAGCCCCTGGGAGGTGTGACTGAGTCATTATTCCCCAAAGACCCAGTGAAAGCAGGCCAGGGTATTGACAGACTAGGGCCATTGCTGACAAGGACCGAGAGAGAACAAGTGGGCAAATAGGCCACCAATATCTTTGTAACCAGATGCCAAGAACAAACAAACAAATGAAACCCTCTGAACGACTCAGAGCATTCCTCTGTCTGTAAACTAGGGACACGGGGCGTAGAATTTGTCAGGTTCAAAGAACCAAGATTTTCTTTTTTTTTAGCAAGTTCTCCATGTTCAGATTTGTATTTCTCCACTGCATTGCCAGCTTTCCAAAAGTCGTTGGTCACTTGCAGGCAGCGGGGGGCAGTTTCCAGCATTCATTGAGTCTCTTTCTTCCCCCACGGGCTTTGTGTCAGCAACCTGGTGATGTGCCATAGAGAAGTCCCCAGTGGGCGGACTGCACATGCTCTCCTTCCTGGAAGAGGCTGGTCTGTGAGGGTAAGCGGTACCCACAAGGAATTCAACACTCAGCGAGGCTCCTTTCCTCTCGCTTTGCTAGGAAGCAGAGAGGGAGGTTTTGTGACGGGTCTGTCAACAGTCACGTCGGGTCTCCTGTCCAAGGCTATTGAGACAAATGTGGGTGTCCATGTGGAGTGCACAGGTTGTGGAGAGTGGGGACTCTGAGTGTGTAAGAGGCAAGTTGGGCAGGAAGCCTGTCCCCACTCCCACTCGTGCAGAACGTAAGGCTTCCCCACCCTGGAGAGATGGAGGGAGACAAGGTGCCAACATGTGGGGCAGAGAGGGAGGTAATGCAAGTGTTTGGTTCCAAAGTCGGTCCTGGAAGATTTAATGTTGCTTGAAATCTGAAGGACTCTTGAGCATCTCTACAACCCCTCAGATGCAAAGCCGGTAAAATGGAGGTGGAGGGAGAGAAGAGCGGACTCTTACCCCATCTCACCCTCATGGCAGAGGATGGTGGTGGAATCCTTGCCAACTGGTACGATCCTGAGAACCACAGCGGCGGGAAGCACAGAGAGCCCAGGCTGTATAGGCAATTTCTCTCTCCCTGTTTTTTTCCTTTGTATCATTTTCTGATCTCTTTAGATCTCTTCTCTAATTTCTCTCTTTCTCTGTGTGTCTCTCTGTCTCTGTGTGTCTCTGAACCTATCTCTCTGCTTCATCTCTTTCTCTGTCTCTCTCTGTGTGTCTGTGTGTGTGTGTGTGTCTCCCTCCCTCTCTCCCTCTCTCTCCTTCTCTCTCTCTCTCTATAAATGCATATAATTAAACTCTCCTTGGATCGCGTGTGTAAATTCCAGCCATTCACTCTCTCAACCTTCGCACTCTCCCTCCAACTCAGGTGCTATCCGTTTGCGCTGAGACTGGGATTCCAGCAGCCATAAGCCACCTGCTCCTGTCCCCAAGTTTACTTACCTGGTCTGGTTGGGTGATTAAGCTGTCACCCCTTTGCGATGAGAATCCTTTGCTTTCAGTCGCCCCCCCATTTCTTTCATCCTCACCCCGTGAAGCTTCGGTTAACACCGCGGCACTGCCTACTGTCCATCCCCGTGCGTGCAGAATGTATTGGAGACTGTAAGAATGTAATCTGTTTATAAACTCACCGACTGTAAATATAAAGTTTGCATTCAGCGGCTTTATGGCTGTCCTTTGTCTTTCTACACGCTGACCCCATCCAAGGGGCTGGTGTCACTTGCAAATGGCTCTCCAAACACTGTGGCTTTTGGGAAATGAAAATGCAGATCTAAGGATCCCAGCACAATCCAATTACCCTCTTACATCGTGTAATGCCGCTCTGCGCGTTGAGGCGATGTTGACACATGATGACAAAGCGCATTGTGTCCTAAGTCTCTCTCCTCCGGGACCCGAAAGATCTGCAGATAAATCACACGCGCTAAGAGCCCGCTGACGGATGGCGGCAATGGGGTGCCGTGGCAGGCGAGCGTGTACCCCCGCCTCCCTCTGGGCTGCAGCGGGGGCAACTGCTCTGTCCTTTCTTGGATCTCACACAGACATTCAGATGTCAACTTCCTCAGGCGTGTAAGCGCCCACGGTGACTCTGGACTGGGTGAAAGAAAGAATGATCTTTAGATTCCCCTAATAATCAAACGCCGCAGCCCAAGACGATTCCACAGAAAGAGAAGTTGCATGAAATCCTTGTATTCATGCAAACAATATCGAGTGATGGATCATTAATTTATTCAGCCAGTATTTGTTGAGCACCTGCTGTGTGCTAGGAACTCTTGCAAGCACGGGAGATAGAGCAGTAAACATGACAGACCCAGGCCTCTCTCAAAGACCTTATCTTTAGTGGGGGTGGGTAATAAACGACAAACAAAATAGTTTTCAGATCGTCCTAAAAAAGGACGTAAAATTAGTGTATGGAATAGAGAAGGATTGAGTAAACTTTTAACTCTTTGGCCTAAAAAATCTGGATTGCTGTCTTCTCTCAATAATTAAGACACTCTGTCAGAATGGGGCTTACCACCCAAGTTGGCCCTAGCTGGATGTGCTGCTGTGGCTTCCGGGCTGCAGGCCCCTCCACGCCCAGCAGGTCTTCCTGACCCAGACTGCAAATTTCGTTTGCCGTCTAGCTCACCACTTTGTTTATAATAGGGGAGTATTTCTCCCTGGGCATATCTCTGCTCTAAATTGTGGAAAGCAAATATAAATGGAAGGAGCTGTGTGTTCTCAAGACAATTAGGAAAAGCATATTGCTTTATGAAAGACGGAATACCCCTATGTGTCTCCTAGGAAAATGAAGAACGTCGTTGTCTGAAGAGGACAACATAAGATGCCATTATCACACAGCCTGTACTGTGATCTCTGTGCCCAGAATTCAAGAAAGAAATGATACAAAAGTCTTAACAAACTGACTTTTCAACAGGGTGTCATTTTGAATGGGAATAAAGTGAGCGATGCTGCTTGGTTCTCTTCCACCTGGCCTGCCGCCTCATTTCCGCCACCGGCGGGGCCCCCACAGCCAGTGAGTTATGGGACCAGGTGAGTAAGACCAGACCCCAAGCCAACGGAAACCAGGATCATCGGCACCCCCCAGTGGAGGCCATGGCTTCTCGCAGCTTCTCTTGAGCCGCCAGCAATCCTTCACCTGCTGCATTACTAGTTTCCGAGGCTGCCTTAACCAAGCCCCACAGGTGGGGGGCTTGAACCACAGGAATTTGCTGTCCCACAGTCTGGAGGCCAGAAGCCCGAGGTCAGTTGTTGGCAGGGCTGGTTCCTTCGGAGGCTGTGCGGGAGCATGTGTTCCAGACCTCTCTGCAGCTTCTGGTGTTCCCGGCCATCCCTGATGTTCCTTGTCTTGTAGAAGCTTCACCCCAATCTCTGCCTCCACCTTCGCACGGCGTTTTCCACGTGGCATGGGCATGTCTGCGTCCAAATTTCCCCTTTTAATATGAACACCAGGCATATTGGATTAGGGCCCACCCTACTCTAGTATGACCTCGTTTTAACTAATTACATCCACAAAGACCCTATTTCCAAATAAGGCCATGTCTAGTACTGGGGGTTAGGATGTCCACATATGAATTTGGGGAGGGGTGCAATTAAACCCATGACACCAACCTCTGGCCAGAAGGTCTCGGGCAGCTAAACTTGTGAGCAGACTGATGGCAGTTGACTGCTGTGTGGACCACCCGGGCACTGGGCTTGGGGCCCACTGGACTTCCAGGAATGTGTCTCATCTACAAAATCTTTGTCTTACCCTCGGTTTCACACCCACTTTACAAATGAGGCTGTGCTAGGACACCCTGGGAGTGCAAGTGAACAATTTATCTATTTCCCTCTGGGAAAGCTCGTAATTGTGAATTCATTACCCTGTTTGTCACTTCCCAGGGTGCAGTCATTAGTTCCTTGCTGGGAGACGCCCCCTCTCTGCCGTAGCAGCAGCCAAAGAGGCTCTGGCAGGAACACGGGTGGACCAGGGATGTTCCCCCATGGAGTCCGGAGTCCTCCCGTCCAGTGATCGCCGTCGACCTGGTTCAGCCCCGGTGTGATTGAGGCATGATGGAGAGGCTGGTAGAGGGAAGAGGATGCTGTGGCCAGAGAGGTCCACATGCAAGTTTGATGTGGATCAGTGGAACCCCTGCCTGGCCAAAAAGGCCTTCCTCTCAAGTTCTCTCCCATACGCTTTCCCTGCAGCTGGCCCCAACTGATGTGTGGATGGGAAAAAATGCTGACCTGTGCATCAAAAAGTTGTAGCTAGGAGAATGAAAGGCACAAAGGCTGCATGTGTTTGGGGTGATGTATTCATTTCCCGGGGCTGCCTAACAAACTGCTACCAACTGGTGGCTAAACACAACAGGAGTTTACTCTCTCAGCATTCCTTCCGGAGGCCAAGTCCAAAAGCAAGGTGTTGGTAGAGCTGGTTCCTCTGAGGCTGTGAGGGAGAATCTGCTCCAGGCCTCTTCCAGCTTCTGCTGGTGGCTGGCCATCCTGGGTGTCCCTTGGCTCGTAGAGACATCACTTGGATCAGGTCATCACACGGCCTTCTCCCTGTGTCTCTGTGTCCAGATCTTCCCTCCTCTTGTAAGGACACCAGTCACTGGACAAGGGCCCACCTTAATCCAGTGTGACCTCATCTTAATTCAATTTCATCTGCAAAGACCCTCTTTCCAAATAAGGTCACTGTCCAGGTTCTGAGGGTTAAGACTTCAATATATCTTTTGGGGGACACAATTCTACCCACTTGAAGGAGAAAGTAGTCCCCTTGGGGGGAAAGAAGTCCTGTCTTGATGTTTGCTTTAGAGAGAATCTTTTCCTTGCAAGTGATTAAAATAAAAATCTAACTGAGCTTCAGGAAAAAAAATAGAAGGATGGACAGAATTTACCACTTCATAGGCCTGAACAAGCGAGGGTATATCTGACTCCCGGGGCAGCTGGATCCCCCTCCAGCTCTTGGCTCTGTATTTCCCTCTCTGACTTTGTGCTCAGGCAAAGCTCTTCCTATGGTGGCTTCCGGAAGCTCCAGCCTTGTTAGTTTCACAGCTAAGAATCTCAGAGAAAGACAGCAACTGTCCGGACACCTTCAGAAGAAGTCCCTCAATTGACCTTCTTGCCCAGCTTGCGTCACAAGCTGAACACAATCAAATCTGTCACCAGCAGGATGTAATGGTCCAGGCCTTGACCTGGTGTCTCCCTCCAGCCCTGGAGTGTGGGGGAGGGACTAAGTGCCCACCTGAACCATAGGGACTCAGACAGGAGAGAAGACAGATTCCAAAAGGAAAATCAAGAGACTTTTGCCATAAAAATGGATGCTGTCCTGCAGAGCCTTTTCCAGGCTTCCCCCACAAAACATTCTATTTTCATGAACTTTGCTTTCTACATGTCCAGGAAGACTCGAACCATATATACGGGACTCCAGAAAATTGAGGGCCATGCTGAAGAAGGGACAGCAATCCCCCTTCACAAATCTGGGACGGTCCACTGTAGAGAGCCATCACTCTCTGCTGGGTCCCGGTGACAGAGTCGCCCGGGCCAGCCTGATGGGCCACTCCCAGACTTCACATTTCTCACGGCTGGTTTCATTGATGTTCAGTCAAATCTGATCCTCCAGGTGTGCTAATGGCTCAGCACTATCGCCCCTGTGTGTTGTATAACTTTTAAAAGCCGCTGTCTTGCTCTCCTCTGCTTCCCCTGCATCCGGAGCTTATCATGGCTCTTAGATGAATCCACTAGGTAGACAGTCAATGTTTGCTAAATGAAAATTAACAGTGACCTTTTTAAAACATAATTCAAATCATGACACTCCCCGGCTTAAAACCCTCCAATAGATGCCCGTAAATCCTAGAATGAAATCTGGTGGCCAGAGGCCCAGTGTGAGGCAGCGCTGCCCATCCCCCCCCTTACCCCCCACGCCCCTCTTCCTCACTAAGTCCCAACCTCACTGGTTTCCTTCTGGCTATTCCTCTAGCAAAACAAGCTCATCTCCACCTCAGAGCTCTTGCCTTCTTGCTTCTTCTTTCTGGAATGCTGTTCTCCCAGATTTTCACAGGTTTGACCCTCCTGTTCATTCAGGTCTCAGCTCATACGTCACTTCCTCAGGGAGGCTTTCTCTGAGCCCCTTAGAACAGTCTCAGCCTCCCTTCCATCCC